CCTTTGCCAATAAACATCTATAAAGAAAAGTTTTTTCTGTTCCACCAGGGCCATCAAGAAAAAAGACTCTACCAAAATCTGAATGTACAGCAGTAATAATTTTATCAAAAACCAATCGTTGGATGTTGTTTAATTTGTCAATACAATGCAAGTCATGCTCATTGACTCCCAAGTTTCTTTCTGCCTCAATTTCTTTATATTGTCTTTGGGAATCAGAGAGATAAATATCAGGATCAACTAAGTTAAAGTCAGTAATTTTTCTGCCATTTTTTTCTAGTAAGTTCTTCACAAGTTGAAGTGCCTTGATTTCAGCTGCAGACTCAGTATATTAGCTGAGTGAATAAAATCTTGACAAAAGAAATCCTTAATGCCCACTACATGCATACACCTTAATGTTTCTGTTAGCTGGAACCCTATCAGAATCATTCTCTAGCCATATTGCAACAACCTGTGAAGCTGTTAGCAAATTATAAACTCTCTGATCTAATGATGTGGTTGAGTTCAAACTTATAACAAAGTCATCCCCAAAGTTGACATCCTTGAGACTTCTAAAGAACTGAGCATATGGGTTTTGGGACATAAGTTCAACCAGATCACTAACTATACTTCTATCAAGTCGATCAACGTATCCAACTCTATTATCTACTTCTGTTTCAGTGTCAAAGAAATAGAGTTGCAAATTACGGGGTGAATGACCATGGGGTATGGTAGGGAATATCCCGACCGACATGCCTCCGTGTTCTATTCTTATCTGTGCAGGTTACAAGTCGGACTTTCTTAGAAGAACCTGGTCGGTTCCCGACCGGGCATCACCCGACCAACGTCCTCGATTCTCGATCGGTAGCCCTTAGGCGAGAGAGCCGAGAAGAGAGACGTGGCAGCATTACGCACTGACAGGCAGGGCTACCGAGAGGAGGACACGTGGTTGCTACGTGGGTGACATGCCGAACGGCCGAACTTGTGTCCCAGGCCCAGCGGCTATAAATACCCGTAGTTGCAACAGTATGGAGGACTTTTGGACGATCGATAGGCTATTGTTAGAGCATCCCGACCGCAGTCAGTCGGCCCTCGAAATAGCCAGTGTAGATTGTATTTAGGTCCTTCACCCGATCAATAGAAGACTTACTCGCTTTGATTGGACTTGTCTTATTTATTTACCGCTTACGTGGGAATTAACACTATCATTTTGGCGCCGTCTGTGGGGACCCGTGCAAGTAAGCTAATGTTTGACGAGCATTGGTTTCATCCTTCACCCTAGCCCCCGACATGCCTCCGTGTTCTATTCTTATTTGTGCAGGTTACAGGTCGGTCTTTCTTAGAAGAACCCGGTCGGTTCCCGACCGGGCATTACCGACCGACATCCCCGGTTCCCGATCGGTAGCCCTTAGGCGAGAGAGCCGAGAAGAGACACGTGGTAGCATTACGCGCTGACAGGCAGGGCTCCCGGGAGGAAGACACGTGGTTGCTACGTGGGTGACATGCCGAACGGCCGGACTTGTGTCCCCCGCCCAGCGACTATAAATACCCGCGGCTGCAACAGTATGGAGGACTTTTGGATGATCGATAGGCTATTGTCAGAGTATCCTGACCGTAGTCAGTCGGCCCTCGAAATAGCCAGTGTAGATTGTATTTAGGTCCTTGCCACATCCGGTCGTCGGTGGCTTACCCTCGGGGAAATGGACAGGTCTAGAATGCCAATCGGACAATCCTGGAAGGTTTGAAGAAGAAACTGCACTCGGCTGGTCGTAGTTGGGCCGATGAGTTAGCCTATGTTCTGTGGACTTATCGGACGACCCCGAGGGAAGCGACTTTGGAGACACCGTTCGCCCTAGCCTATGGGGCCGAAGCCCGACTCCCGATCGAGGCGTGGATCCCGACCGCCAGAGAACGAACCTACAATGCAGAGGAAAACGAACACTCAATGGTCGCGGATCTTGACGGGGTCGAGGAAAAGAGAGAGCTAGCCGCTCGGCGTATGGCGGAGTACCAGAAGCGAGTGAAGAGTTCAAAGGATGTCCGGGTCAATCCTCAGTACTTTCAGGTCGGGGATTACGTTCTACGCCAACGGGAAGCCAGTCAGCCTTTGGAAGGAGGAAAGCTAGCTCAGAACTGGGAAGGTCCGTATGTCATCACTGCTGTTATACGGCCGGGAACCTATCGACTGGAGACGACGACCGGTAGGCAGATCGAGGGTACTTGGAATTCCGAGCACCTCGTCTTGTTTAGGCATTATCTCGTTTTTCGTAATTACTGACGAAGTGGGGGCTCGACCTGCGAGTGGCCACCGTTCGTCGTTCAGTACTTGTAAATTATTTGTTGTGAATATTTTTAACCGTCTGTGAACGGGAAGAGTTAATGTATATACGATCGGTGATTGCTCGAACATTTGCATACGGAGGCCCGATCGGTTTTGTTTTAAAATGTTTAAGCATGCAGTAGGTTGTTTTAAATCTGCTATACCAACCAGTCGCGCTCGGAATCTACCCAATCGAGACTCGGCATCAGCAATGAAGATGGGTTTTTCGCCCAACACAACACCTCTCCCTCGGTTCCGACCGATAGGGGTGTGCAACAAATTGGCTCTAATAGCCATCTACTTAATTGGCTCTGATAGCCGTCTACCTAATTGGCTCTAATAGCCACTTACTACTTGGCCGGTCGAATTCTAACGACTGTCTATTGCGCTCATCTTCGGCGGATGCTCGGGTCACGCCATCGATCGGAGAAAACAGAGCTATATCAAAAATTCCCCGATCCGTCCAACTTCTTTCCACTGTCGCACTTACTCGTGCCTTGTGTGCACAATAGTGTGGGGGCTAGGGTGAAGGAAGGAAGTTACAAGGCCGAGTGATCGGGAATACCCCGAGCAAAAAAGTTTGACATTTCGAACACGCACGACCAGGCCATTAGGCCAAAGGGTTGGAGGCCAAGGGGTCGGGCAATGAACGACTGGCATACAAGCAGATAAAAGTAAAACGCATCAAAATAAACCGAGCAAGACAAGATGGACAAAAAAGTGATTTCATTAATTGTTAAAAGGTGCCCGGTACAAAAGCGGGATTGGGCCCCCGATCAGGTCTACTTAAAACAAAAATGAAGAAGTAGATTACATTGGTCGGAATCTACACGACCTAACTACTTCTTCGCAGTACTGCTCGGCTCGGCAACTTCGTCCTCAGGGCCAAAAGGAGCCAGGCCGGGGTCGGGGATCTCTGTAGGGAGGGTCGTCAAGACCAGTTTGAGATCATCGCCCTCGAGCGC